AAAAACTATAAAATGAAGTTAAAATTGCAAGGCAAATTTAAAGATAAAAACAAACATGATTAAAAGTTAAATTAATCAAGTTTTATTAATTAGTCATAATCAAAATATGAAAGAATAAAAATTTAGCAAGATTTTTTACTAATTTAAATTTGCTTTCCAAAATATATTTTCATAAATAAAAAGCAAATAAATATTTTTTACGAGGCTCCAATTGTCAGAGTTTTTAGATTATGGCTTTTAGCTAAGCTAGAACAAAGTAATTGTACCCCTAATTGAGTTTGTGAGTTCAACCTTTTAATTTTATATCAGTTGATTTTAAAATAGTTAATAGAACATTCAAAATAGAAATTTATAAAAAATATCTAAATTTATTTTTAAAAATAAAAATAATTTTAGTGATAAGAGCAAATAAATGAATGAGTGATTGATTAATTAAAAATAATAAAAACAGAAAAAAAAACAAGTATACAATTGATAATAAAAATATTTTATAATTTTTCCTCATATTCAGTATATTTATTTTTATTATTCTTGAAATATCAAGTAGAATTTTTTAAATTAATTTAAATTTAAATTTTTTTGATAATTAAAAATTGCTAAAAAAGTTAATAAAGTATTATTACTAGAGATAGAGGGTCAAATTTGAAAGATTAGAGCAACAAGCCAAACTAGAACCCAAATCTGATAAGGCTTGATCTTTTAAAAAATTCCATCTTTTAATTATTTGAAACAAAAAAATTTAAATAAATTTATTATAAAATAAATGAATAAATAAATAAATAAATAAAGAGAACAAAATTTTAAATTGAATTAATCATAGCCGAAATAATAAATTAAAATATAAAAATTAATAAACTAAAAAAGAATTAATTAAGTAATCAATCCTAAAAGAATTTAAAATATAATAAATCAATAATTTAAGCTATTTGCGTTTATTTTATTAATTTATTTATTGACTATTTAGATTTTTGTTTGTCAAATTTAAAAAAATAAAATATGAAATTTAAAAGAAAAACAAATTATTTTTTCACCTTAGGTCAATTTTCAAAGTTAACAGTTTATTGCAATGAGATAAACCAGAAGCTAAGTCTAATATACTATCATCTAGTATTGATTCGCTTTTATAGTTTTAAAATAAATTTGTAAGTTTACATGTAAAATAAAAAGAAGAAATTTAAGAAAAAAAATGAGTTTAAAATAAAAGTATTAATTAAGGAAATAAACAAAATAAATAATTAATTTAAAATAAGAGCAAATCACTAAAAATTAATATAATATAAATATTTTATGAGTTTTACTTATTTTTTAATTATTTAGTTATTTGCTTAATTAAGTAAGAAATCAAATAAATTTTATAAAAGTAGATAAATTTTTTTTTACAAGAAATCAAGTTTCAAAGTTGAGAGATTGGTGCACTGAGATAAAGCAGAACCCAATGCTGATGCACCCTACTTATTCATTTTATTACCCCTTTTAATATTTGTAAAATATTTTTGAGGGAATTATGATAAAAAGTTAGGATAGACAAATAAGATTAAATAGAAAACTTAAAATAGAAATTAAAAGTTGAAAAAAATTAATGAAGTTTTTAGTTTTTTATAAGTTAAATACATTTAATATAATAAAAACTAATTTTTAATAATCAATTTTTTTAATTGATCAATTTATAAATAAAAGCAAATAAATTATTTTTACCATATGTAGTAATAAAAACTTGAAAGATTTTTGCATCGAGATAAACCAGAAGCTAGAGATGAAAAACCCTTATCATTAATTTGATTCAATCTTTTAATATTTAGGAAAAACATATTATGTTACTTTGAAAAAAGATAGAAAAATAAAGGAAAATCAAATAAGAAGATTTTTAAAGTAATAAAAATTAACGCAAATTAAAAATTTAAGTGAGTCATTGTAAGCCAAAATTAAATAAAATATTTTTAATTTGTAAAGTTATAAATAGTAATTAATCCAATTTATTAATTCATATTTATATTGATTGAGAATATTTAAATTAACTATATTAGTAAATTTAATTTTATTAAGAAATAGACTAATGTTAGTTACTATATGTTGAGGATTAAATTTTACAGATTACAGCAGTGAGCTAAAGCACTACCAAGTTCTGAAATGCCATCATCAGCAATTTTATTTCGCCTATTAGTATTACATAAATATGAAAGAATTTGGAGTAAAACAATATTAAAATGCAAAAAAAATTCAATAATAAATTAAATAATAACTTAATGATTAATTTAGTGCAAAGAGACATTCAAACAAAATTATTGGCGTAAAGACAAATTATATCAAAAATTTAACAATTTTATTAATAAATAATTTTTAGATTGGTTGATTGTTTTTCAGTATTAATAATTAAATCAAATATTAATAAAAATAAATGAATCAATAAACTATTTTTACCAAAGATGAAGCGTTAAAGATGAAAGATTTGTACGCTAACTTAAAAAAAATGTCATCCCTGAGAGGGCTTCATCTCCAATGTAATTACTCCTATTTGTTTTATAAATGATATTTGTTTGTTTAAATAGCAAAATAATCAATGAATAGAATTAAGAAAACATGTTTTTAAAAATGAACAATAAAAGTAAAAATAAAGTTTAAAATGAAATGTTTTTAAGTTTTCTTAATTAATTTATGAATTAAATATTTATTAAAATTAATATTTACAACAAAAAGATGTTAATAAAAGAAAATGTATTTATACCCAAGATTTAGTGTGAAAGAAGTTAGATTAAGGCATAAAGCTAGACTAAAGCCTAAGGTTTTTGCACCCTTTTTACCAATTTAATTAAAGCTTTTAATATTAACAAAAATAATAAAAATTTGCAAGCTAAAACATAAGAAATTTATGATAAATAGATATGCTTAAAATGCATAAATCAAATGAAAAGTTTAAAATAAAAATGAAATTTTAGTTCAATAAAATAAAAAAATATGTTTTAGAAAGTAAACATTTAATCCATCCTAAAAAATTAATTTAATACTTAAAAATATTAAGATTAATTCATTTTTTAGTTAATTGTTTAACTTAATTAAGAATAATAGAAAGTGCTAAAAAATAAATATTATTACTAAAGTTCGAGTTTCAAAGTTTTGAGTTTGGAGCACTTAGATAAACCAAAACCTAAATCTGAAGCACCCTTTTCACCAATTTAATTTGACCTATTAACATTCAATAGAAATATATTATTATCAAAATAATATTAAGGTAAAATGCCAACAAATGGAAATAAATTTTTTACCCAAGGTTGAGCGATAAATCGGTGATATTTCTTAATTAAGCGAGACATAAACCTAAAGCTGAAGCACCCATATCACCCATTTTATTTTGCCTATTTATTATTTTAAAATAAATTAATTAAAAAGGAAAAAATTAATATTAATTTTAAGGACAAGATAAAATAATAAGAAATTAATACTGAAATATCTTTGAAATAATAAAGTAGAGCTAGAAATTAATAAATTACAATAAATTAACTAAATTAAATATGTTGTAATGTTTGTTATATTGATAAATTATTAATTAAAAATTTTATTTTGAAGAACATCCCATTTATTTATTTACTACCTACAATACATAAATTTTATGGGAAAAAGAAGAAGATGGGGTGGAATCTATCTAAATAATTAGACAATTTATAATTATCCATACATTTATATTGATTTTTAAAAAATCAACAATAATAAACTATAGTTTCAAAAAATATTAATGAATATTTTTACTGGAGGTCTAATTTCAAAATTGAGAGATTAATGCATTCAGATAAACCTAAAAATAAAGCTGTTATGCCTTTTTCACCAATTATATTTTCGCTTTTTATAGTTAGATATAATATGTCAATCAATAAAAAATAAATCAACTGTAAGTAAACGTAAATTTAAATTAGAATTTTATATAAGAAAGAAATATTAATTGAATAAACTGAAGAAATCAATTTAATAAAGTTAAAAGCTTTTAAAATATAAATTTTTGACATTTTTTCTTTAAACTAATTAATTTAATTCTTTATTAATTAAAGCAAATTATTTTTACCAAAGATAGAGAGTCAAAATTGAAAGATTTTCGCATTTAGCTAAACCAGAACCTAAAAACGATGTGCCTTCATCACTTACTGAATTGTAACTTTTAATTTTTTGAAAAATTAGTGAGTTTTCTTTAAAAAAAACTAATAGAAAATATTGAAAGATATAAATAATTAAGTCAGCCTATAAGCAAATAAATAAACCAATATATTAATCCTAAAAAAGTAGAATAAATATGCAAAATATTCAAGTCTTATATAAATAAACTAAATATTTTATATTATTTATTAATTTTAGTTTATAGCTTATAAAATAATTATAAAAATTGCTTATAAAAAAAAATAAATTATTTTTACAAGAGGTCGAGTATTAAATATTTGAGATTTTTACACTGAGCTAAAGAAGAACTCAGAGGTGATATGCCCTGATCACCAATTTAATTTTCCCTTTTAATTTAAGAAATAATAGTAAATTAAAATGAATAAATTTTCGAAAGGTATATAAAAGATAAAAATATAAAGAATTCAATGAAAGAAAAAGCTCAAAAATAAATAAAAAGTAAAAAAATTTATACAAAATAATGAAGAAAAATAACAAAAATCAAATTTAGTTAACAAAAATTAATTATTCAAAACTTTTGCATGAATAATGTTCTCTGAAAGATTTATTAAAATTATCATAGTTTTTATTTATTACCTTAAACTAATTTATAGATCTGTGTAAGAGAATTATTCAGAGTCTGTAAACTTTAATATTAAAATAAATATTTAAACTTGTTAAAATAAAAATATTGAATTACATTTTTTAGATTAGAAAAATATGTTATTTTCTATTACATTATTTTTTTCTTTTTGAACTTGAAGCAAATTTAATTAATTATTTTTTAAAGTAAAATTACTTTTATTAAATTATAGGTTAATTAATCATTATTTATTTTAAATAACTAATCAAATACATTAAATTTTATGTCTTAAGGTAAATATAATTTTAAGTCAAATAAACATAAATGAAAAGTTAATTAGAATAAAAATAAAAACTAAATAATTGAAATAAATGGTCAAAAAAGTACTATTTTTTAGTCAATATAATAGTGCTTCTGCGAATTTAAGGTATAATATTTTTATATTTTTTAACAAAAAAGTTAAATATTAAAAATCAAATACTGTGTCTATGTATTTAAAATAAAAACTAGCTTTCATTTATTACAATATATCCAAATTTATTTAAAAATGTATAAAATTTTTAAAGATATATTTATTTTTTTGTATATATTTTTGCTAAATAATTTTTATGTCATTTTAGAAAGAACTATCCACATTTATTAATTGTATTCATTATTTATAATGTTTTTCACTAAGTTATTATGTTATTTAATCACATTCAATTAAATTTACTAAAAATATACATTTTATTTTTTAGTCATAAAAAAAATGTTTTTTAATTTTAATTAATTAGTATATTTATGTCCATCACAAATCTATCTCAAACTTATTTATAAATATAAATATTTAAATTATTTTATAATCTTATTAATTTTACATCGATTTCTTATTTTTTTAATTGATCTCTTAATATTTCTTTGAATTATTCTTTTGATTGAAAAATCTGATTGAATCTATTAGTTTTTATATATCAAATGTATCTTTATCAAACAATTTGTTTTAAGTATATTTAATAAAATCATTTTTTCTATATTAAAATTATTATTTTAGATTTATTTGTAAATAAATATATTTATTTTGAATAAATAAGCTAATCACTAAGTGAAAAGCGTAAATCAACAAAATAATCAATTTTTTCAAAATTTCTTGCTTTATCAATCGATAAATTAAGTTTTTACAATAAAGAAAGTGTCAAACTTGTGATATTCTTGCACTACGCTATTCCTGTGCCTAAATCTTTTGCACCCTCATCACCAATACTATTTTAACTATAAATATAAGAATAAATAATGAATTAAGAAAATAAATTTGGAGGAGAAAGGATTGTAAAAAAAGATTGTTGCTTTTGTTAGTATTTTCGTTTGTTTTTGAAGGAGTAAGTGACTAAGTATGTATTTAAGTAATTAAGTTAACAAATTGATTATTTTTTAGTTGAGGAGTAAGTAAGTAAGTTATTAAAACAGTAATTTAATAAAAAAAAAAAATAACTAACTCTAACTTGCTTACTAACGAATTGACTTAATTAGCTAATCACTAAGTGAAAAGCGTAAATCAACAAAATAATCAATGTTTTCAAAATTTCTTGTTTTATCAATCGATAAATTAAGTTTTTACCTTAAATCAAGTGTCAAACTTGTGATATTCTTGCACTATGCTATTCCTGTGCTTAAATCTTTTGCGCCCTCATCGCCAATACTATTATTTCTTTAAATATAAGAATATATAATGAATTAAGAAAATAAATTTGGAGGAGAAAGGATTGTAAAAAATGATTGTTGCTTTTGTTAGTATCTTCGTTTGTTTTTGAAGGAGTAAGTGACTAAGTTTGTAAGTAAGTAATTAAGTTAACAAATTGATTATTTTTTAATTGAAGAGTAAGTAAGTTAGTTATTAAAAAAGTAATCTAATAAAAAAATAAATAACTAACTCTAACTTGCTTACTAACGAAGTGACTTAATTAGCTAATCACTAAATGAAAAGCGTAAATCAATAAAATAATCAATTTTTTCAAAATTTCTTGCTTTATTAATCGATAAATTAAGTTTTTACCTTAAATCAAGTGTCAAATTTGTGATATTCTTGAACTACGCTATTCCTGTGCCTAAATCTTTTGCACCCTATGCACCAATACTATAATTGCTTTAAATATAAGAATAAATAATGAATTAAGAAAATAAATTTGGAGGAGAAAGGATTGTTAAAAATGATTGTTGTTTTTGTTAGTATCTTCGTTTGTTTTTGAAGGAGTAAGTGACTAAGTTTGTAAGTAAATAATTAAGTTAACAAATTGATTATTTTTTAATTGAAGAGTAAGTAAGTAAGTAAGTAAGTAAGTAAGTAAGTAAGTTATTAAAAAAGTAATCTAATAAAAAAATAAATAACTAACTCTAACTTGCTTACTAACGAAGTGACTTAATTAGCTATTCACTAAATGAAAAGCGTAAATCAATAAAATAATCAATTTTTTCAAAATTTCTTGCTTTATCAATCGATAAATTAAGTTTTTACCTTAAATCAAGTGTCAAATTTGTGATATTCTTGCACTACGCTATTCCTGTGCCTAAATCTTTTGCACCATATGCACCAATAATATTATAGCTTTAAATATAAGAATAAATAATAAATTAAGAAAATAAATTTGGAGGAGAAAGGATTGTAAAAAAAGATTGTTGCTTTTGTTAGTATGTCCGTTTGTTTTTGAAGGAGTAAGTAACTAAGTATGTAAGTAAGTAATTAAGTTAACAAATTGATTATTTTTTAGTTCAGGAATAAGTAAGTAAGTTATTCAAACAGCAATCTAATAAAAAATAAATAACTAACTCTAACTTGCTTAGTAACGAAGTGACTTAATTAGCTAATCACTAAATGAAAAGCGTAAATCAACAAAATAATCAATTTTTTCAAAATTTCTTGCTTTATCAAACGATAAATTAAGTTTTTACCTTAAATCAAGTGTCAAACTTGTGATATTCTTGCACTACGCTATTCCTGTGCCTAATTCTTTTGCACCCTATGCACCAATATTATTTTCACTATAAATATAAGAATAAATAATGAATTAAAAAAATAAATTTGGAGGAGAAAAGATTTTAAAAAAAGATTGTTGCTTTTGCTAGTATGTCCGTTTGTTTTTGAAGGAGTAAGTGACTAAGTATGTAATTAAGTAATTAAGTTAACAAATAGATTATTTTTTAGTTGAGGAATAAGTAAGTAAGTTATTAAAAAAGTAATCTAATAAAAAAATAAATAACTAACATTAACTTGCTTACTAACGAAGTGACTTAATTAGCTAATCACTAAATGAAAAGCGTAAATCAATAAAATAATCAATTTTTCCAAAATTTCTTGCTTTATCAATAGATAAATTAAGTTTTTACCTTAAATCAAGTGTCAAACTTGTGATATTCTTGCACAACGCTATTCCTGTGCCTAAATCTTTTGCACCCTTATCAGCAATACCAATCAATCTTTAAATATAAGAATAAATAATGAATTAAGAAAATAAATTTGGAGGAGAAAGGATTGTAAAAAAAGATTGTTGCTTTTGTTAGTATCTTCGTTTGTTTTTGAAGGAGTAAGTAACTAAGTAATGTACTTTCTGTTTGATAAGAATCACTTTAATTTAAGAATTTTTTTTAATAAGGAGGTATTTTTCCAAAAATAAGTTTTTCATTGAGTCTTATTCAAAAGATTGTAAATTCTCTAAGGAGTAAAAATTTTAAAAATAACTTTAAAAAAACCCTCCTTATTCAAACGTATGTACGGTATGTAAGTAAGTAATTAAGTTAACAAATTGATTATTTTTTAGTTGAGGAGTAAGTAAGTAAGTAAGTTATTAAAAAAGCAATCAAATAAAAAAATAAATAACAAATTCTAACTTACTTACTAATGAAGTGACTTAATTAGCTAATCACTAAGTGAAAAGCATAAATCAACAAAATAATGAATTTTTTATAAATTTCTTGCTTTATCAATCGATAAATTAAGTTTTTACTATAAATAAAGTGTCAAACTTGTGATATTCTTGCACTACGCTATTCCTGTGCCTAAATCTTTTGCACCCTATGTACCAATATTATTCAATCTTTAAATATAAGAATAAATAATGAGTTAAGAAAATAAATTTGGAGGAGAAAGGATAGTAAAAAAGATTGTTGCTTTTGTTAGTATCTTAGTTTGTTTTTGAAGGAGTAAATAACTAAGTATGTAAGTAAGTAATTAAGTTAACAAATTGATTATTTTTTAGTTGAGGAGTAAGTAAGTAAGTAAGTTATTAAAAAAGCAATCTAATAAAAAAATAAATAACTAACTAACTCTAACTTGCTTACTAACTAAGTGACTTAATTAGATAATCACTAAGTGAAAAGCGTAAATCAATAAAATAATCAATTTTTCCAAAATTTCTTGCTTTATCAATAGATAAATTAAGTTTTTACCTTAAATTAAGTGTCAAACTTGTGATATTCTTGCACAACGCTATTCCTGTGCCTAAATCTTTTGCACCCTATGCACCAATACTATTATTGCTTTTAATATAAGAATAAATAATATATTAAGAAAATAAATTTGGAGGAGAAAAGATTGTAAAAAATGATTGTTGCTTTTTTTAGTATCTTCGTTTGTTTTTCAAGTAGTAAGTAACTAAGTATATAAGTAAGTAATTAAGTTAACAAATAGATTATTTTTTAGTTGAGGAATAAGTAAGTAAGTTATTAAAAAAGTAATCTAATAAAAAAATAAATAACTAACTCTAACTTGCTTACTAACGAAGTGACTTAATTAGCTAATCACTAAATGAAAAGCGTAAATCAATAAAATAATCAATTTTTCCAAAATTTCTTGCTTTATCAGTAGATAAATTAAGTTTTTACCTTAAATTAAGTGTCAAACTTGTGATATTCTTACACTACGCTATTCCCGTGCCTAAATCTTTTGCACCCTCATTACCAATACTATTCCACCTTTAAATATAAGAATAAATAATGAATTAAGAAAATAAATTTGGAGGAGAAAGGATTGTAAAAAAAGATTGTTGCTTTTGTTAGTATCTTCGTTTGTTTTTGAAGGAATAAAGTAACTAAGTATGTAAGTAAGTAATTAAGTTAACAAATTGATTATTTTTTAGTTGAGGAGTAAGTAAGTAAGTTATTAAAAAAGCAATCTAATAAAAAATAAATAACTAACTCTAACTTGCTTACTAACGAATTGACTTAATTAGCTAATCACTAATTGAAAAGCGTAAATCAACAAAATAATCAATTTTTTCAAAATTTCTTGCTTAATCAATCGATAAAT